GCCCAGAAAACACTACTCCCCCTCCAGGTGAGATAGATTAGTTTCAAGTAAAAATTAATATATCATAATTACAGCTTGCTTATCAGGTTTGATGTTATCGGCAACGCGGAAAACGTTTCTTAGCATAGCGTATTTCTTAGTTGATTTCGGTAGGCTGCAAACTCCGTTCGACCATCTTCCTCTCTCTACATCATGATCTTGGAAGAGGTCGTTCTTGACTGTACATACGGTTGCAGCTGACATTCTTTTTAACGATATAGAGCGGATTTCGTATGAGTGGGAAACGGACGGTACTGTACTGTGACCGATAATCGTACTGTAACCAAGTTCTAGTGCCCCATTGGTTCACCAAAATTGTGCAGGCCAGGTCCGGTAACTTTGCGGTAACCGTGCGGTAACGGTGTCCCACTCATACGAAATCCGCTCTAGTACTTCTAATACATAACATTATAACTTATCATTCTTTCTTTTTAATTTTAAGAACCATTCCCACCATTGCCGCGTAAGTATAAATTGATGTTGATTTTTTTGATTAAAAATAAATAAAGAAAACGAAAAAAGACATTATCGATTTCTGAATGTGAGACTCGTCGTCACGAGGACATTAGAAGCTGCTACCTTGCCTGGCCTGGGTATACATGACTCAGTTTGTGCTTTCGGTTATCCGATGTTGCATCTCGGCAAAGTCACTATTTATCATGTTTATATTCTYGCTATTTTCTTGTTTTGCATGCAATTGTAGCCATGRACTCGGGTCCCGAAATGTATGGACGCTGATCAACACATCAAACAAGTTAATGGTTAAAACAAAGTTGACAATATAACAACATTAAAAGTCACCTTGATATTTTGCTTGTTGCTTCTTTTTGTTGTTCTTTATATTTTAAAATATAATTGAAAATCATAAAAAGGATCTCTTTGGAAAACGCACCAAAGCACAATACTCCAGTTTCGAATTCAAAGCGAATAACCGCTGATTTACTTGACAGCAGCTTCTATTACGCAAAGAACTTACCAAAGACAAAAGAAAGCACGAGAAAATGTTGTTAATACAATAGAGCTCTAAGAATCTACATTTTCCCCGAGTTGAGGCTAATCCTGCTCATACCTTAGGTCTTATGGGAATACAGGGATAATCTCAACTCGGGGAAAATGCAAATTTTCAAGTCTATTGTAATAACAACATTTTCTCGTGCGCTCTTTTGTGTTTGTAAAGTCTTTGCGCAAGAGAATCTGTTGTCAAATAAAGCAGCGGTTTTTCGCTATGAATTCGAAACTGGAGTATTTGTACTTTGATAGTCTACTTTAGATATTTCATTGGTTAGGTATTCATGTCCAAAAATGGCAGATGAGGCTGCAAGGTAACATGGATGATCTTCATGTATTCTCTGATGTCCTTGGAGCCTCGTCTACAATTCTTTTTGTGCATGGKAACTTCACCAGAATATCTAAAAAATACCTATTTGATATTTTAATCCGTGACATAACCAACAGAAACATTAGTAAATAAATTTTAAATGATTTTTGTAAACTTGTTGGTGATTTCAGTATGAGTTATTGGGCTGCCTGTAGCTGTGGTTGCCGTGCTGGTCTGACTATGTTGGTTTACTTGGGTTGTTTAGGCTCTTCATTCATGTTTTTAACCTAAGAATCAAATTGATCGAAAATTTGATTATCGGATTTCTTTGTCCTCTTCACATTGCAAACAAACAGAAAATACCGCTTAAAACTTAAAAATACACTATACAAAAAATAACTATACTATGAATATATTAAATGAACGAAATGTTATTATCCACTGCCTACAATTACCTTCACTAAACAGCGGGCAATTCAATCATTCCCTTCTGTTTGTAATTACTATATGCCCCGTTATTCAACCACGAATTGCTAGGCTGCCCGTGGTTAATCGTCATGTTGGTTTATTTGCGTTGTGTACATGGTTCAGTGACCAATTTTTTAAATTGAAAAATCTTTCTATTGTGCAATAAGAAATTTTTTCTGCTATCCGACAATATTTGTTTGGAGTCTTGAAGATCATATGAAAGTCATCTCTATTTTGGATTTGATTTGTGTAGTCATTGTGAAATGGCAAAGCGCAGCTTGATAGATAATTATGCAGATGTTATGCAGGTTAAAATAAAAGCAACGGTCGTGCTGTTTTCCTAGAAATATCAATTTTACTTACATCAGAATTTTTCACCTGGGATAGCAGAAAACCACTGTACTATAGTTGAATTTTGGGACCTTTGAAGCGGCAGCTCAAAGATATGAGATTCCAAATCTGCATAGTGCTGATCGTTCTCAGTGGTTTTCTTCAAATCCTGGATGCTCTTCCATTTCATCAAGGTCAGTAAAGACAAAACTGTTATGACCTTCAAGATGGGAGCATTCATTGATAGTTGTAAATCAGATTAAGAAGATAAAATTTACTGCACTTTAATTGTTAAATTCATAGACGCTTTGAATTTACATTCTCGCCTAAGCCCAATTCTTATGAAGATTAATCGAGAAACTAAATTTCAAGCAGCTTTTTTGCCACTTTTATGCAATTTCCAGGAAGCTATCCCTACGACAAAGAAGATGGTATGCTGAGCGAAAGAGAAGGTTAAGTCTGATTGTTCTGTTTACTTTTCTATATTTGTCATGAAACGGCTACTAGTGACTGCATTTTAGTCGATTCTCATTGTTTTATATATTGAAGAAGAATATTTTTTCTAATTAAAACATTTAGAAATGTTGAAGCAGGAAACAGATGGAGAAATGGTGGTTTCAAAAAAGGAAGATGATGAGTTTGAGCAAGAAAGTGAAGACCCGGCAGTAAAGAAAGGAATTGAAGCAGATACGAAAAGGAATAAGAATCAAAAAGCGAAGAAACTTCAGCTCAAGATTATCAAACTTTTAAACCAGCTACAAAAAAAAAACGAGAAGAATCGCTTTAAGAAACTTCGATGTAGGAAAGGAAAATGTGTAAAACCAAACCGAAAACCAAATGAAAAAGGCAAGGAGACGAGCAAGAAAGGTAAAGGCGGTGAAAACAGACAGGAAAAAACAGGAAATGGAAATGCTCGAAAACAACAGCAACAAACTACTTCGAAACCGAAAGAGGGCGATGTGATATCGTCAGGAACACCTGGCCCTCCTAGTTATAGATACGAGCTTCCAGGTAAATAAAATGAACTTGACTTTAAGATACAGTGTTAATTAATAACAACGTGGAATAGTCACTCTGAATCTATGAAAATCCCAGTCTTCTTGAACGGAACAATAATGCATTTCGGTTTTGTAATACATTATCATTCAATCATTCAACGTTTTCTGACACACCTCACATTCACCCTACATACATCGACATTAAGGCAGGCGAACGAGAAGTAAAATATACCAAAATAACCTTATGCAATCAAATGTTCACTGGAAAAAATCGCGCACTTAAATGTAAATTTGATTTAAACATGATGTAAGTGTCCAAAATTCTGTAAATTTAATGGAAATCATTTTCCTCAAATTTACAGAATTTTGGACACTTACATCATATTTACATCAAATTTACAACCTTTAAAGCGCGCGATTTTTTCCAGTGGTTGTTGGGAGCTATTGCAATTAAATTGCCTTGAATGTGTTTTCCTCAAATGATATCACATACGTTTTGGGGAGGTGCATCAGTATCTAAATTATGAAAAAAAAATGAAGGACGAACTTTCTACGCAAAATAACGCTACCGAACGTTGAGGGTCCTTTGGAAAAGCATTTAATGAGATGATTACACACTAGAGTATTTTGAAAGACCTGCGTAGGAAATAATGCACTAGTCAGTAGAATGCTCAGCTCACCTAACTACACGGGGAATACGGGGAATTAGATGGGACTTAGCGAGGCAATAGACAGCGTTTAGACAATCTAAATTGACGCGCAAATGTAGGGCTTTAGCCTCGATTTACTTTGAAAAGGCACTGGGAATATGATTTAGGCTTTCTTTGGTCTCCTTTCTTAGAGTGGTAAAGTTTAGTAATCAGAAAAACAGTGCTTTGCTTTTTTTTGTCAGGGATAATTTTTTTTTTTCACTGTTGACATCTTTGTGATATCAAAGATTGCAAAATCAAGTGCCCTGGGAGCGGGGAAAAATGGAGGTATTTGACTCTCAAAATTGCATCTCCTAGCGGGGTATACGGGGCTTTAGTACAATATTACACATTCCCTCAAGTCAAATGCCTTATTGGGTGCGGGGCTTTTCTACATAACTAATGCTGTTCCATAAGAACAATAAACACAAACGTAAAGCAATAACATGACTCAGTTTTGTCAATCCAGTGATTCACCTCGGGGAAATGACCATTCATACAATTATTGTTGTTATTTATTTTGTTTTTAAACATTTCATTGTAGTGACTTTACACGACGGTTTAGAGATGTACGGCCGCTGACCACCATCTAACACAAGTTATCGCGGAAAACAAAGTTTAAATTTATGCAATAAACTTTAAAAGTTACCTTGTTGTTGTGCTTATCATTGCTGATTCTTTATATTTTGGATTGGAAAATATGATTTTTATGTAAAAAAACACGACCGCATTGAATGCTGGTGGACCATGATTGTCCCAATACTCCATTTTCGAATTCAAATGCGAACAACTGCTGCTTATGGAGAACAGATTCTCTTGCGCAAGAAAATGTCGTTCTTACAATAGCCTTGGAAATTTGCATTTTCTCCGAGTTGAGACTAATCCTGTATTCCCATCTAGGACACAGGGTTTAAAACTTCTGTGAATACGGAGTTAGCCTTACAACATTTTCTTGCTTTCTTTTGTGTTTGATAAGGTTTTTGCGTAAGAGAATCTGCTGTCAAATAAAACAGCGGTTATATTCGCTTTGAATTCAAAAATTTTCTCGGAAGAAAATGTCTTAGTATATTTGTTCAAACTCAGATATCACCTTCTCCAAAAAGTCTCTTTTAATTAATTGCTCCAAAATGTCCTGATGTACAAGAGGGGATTGCTGCCAGTTTTATTCGATTTTATTCAAAATTCTCACGTACGTCACTGACTGGAAATCAAAACTTGATATATTACTATTGTAAAAGCAATCACAGCTTAGAGTGACTGAAAAACCAGCTGAGTCTCACTGCGCTAAATACCAAAATAAATAATCATTGTTCCTGCAACTTTATTAATTTTTGCATCCGGGTAACAGATCACCATCTGGGCAAGTCTTTTTTGACCTTGGCAGAAGGTGAGAAGATGAGACAACTAAATCCGTATAGTGCTGATCAATCTCTGCTATTATTTTCGCCTTCTAGGATGTGCATGTTGTGATTATTTTGCTTGTTTTAGCTTACTTTGCTTCGCTGATCAGGTGGCAGTTCATTCATGCTGGTTGTAATTACCACAACTTTATCTTTTCACAGTTGCAAACGATACAAAATATGGAGCCTTTTATTACAAGAATGCGCACTTTCAGTTATTGAAAATGAAACAAAACAGAACACAGAGAAAAGAAGCATATTGTTTTCTTCAAAACCAGTCCAAATTGGGAGAACTACTAATTTCTAATCATGGGTCTCCACTCGAGCTGTGTTTCCTTTGTGCCAATTTGGCTTTTAGTTAGGCGGATAGGTGAAGAATTTAGGTCGAATTGTTCACTTTCAGGTTAAAATCATGACACTCTGTCAAAATATGTCTTTGAATGCTAGGAATCGATTCTGATATTGTGCCAACGCAAAAATCGATGCAGTCGGCAATTACGGGGATTTTTCAAAATGGCGGCCATTTTGAACCGGAAGTAAAATTTCAAATAGTAATAAATCAATCGCAATACATGTTTAAATGATTAAACACAGACAGTTGCTAAGTTTTATTTATGTTAAGAGATTCTGATATAGTTTAAGGACAAAAAAGAACTATTTTCTCTAATTGAGGGGATTTTTTGAATAGCGGCCATTTTAACCGGAAGTAGATTTCGCATAATAAAGATTGGGCGTTTTTGACCACCGCAGCTGTAAGATGTTTGTTTTAGAAAAAGGACATGCACATTTTATAATTTTAATTACTAAATGATTTTAAAATAGGCTTTAAAGACGAAGTTGAAACTGTTTAGGATTCTGAAAAATAAGAAATGCTCGCTCTCCATTTATTATGACAAAGGACAATGAAAATTAAAACTCTTTATGACAAAACCCACATACAATAATCTTGTTTTAGGGAAGTAATGGTAACTAAGCGGTGAGAGGGCCTTTCACCTCTGTAGACCCTGTTGGAATCTTATTAGACCAGCCTTTTGAAGCTCAAGGATCCCAATAAGTCAATCAAGCTAATTTTATGCCAGAAGTTGTCTCATTATTATTGCAGCAATTTTTTAATAAGATGTACCACAGCAGCTAATCGATATTGAAGAGAGAAAACAGCGCATTCACAGCTGGTTTAAACATAAAGTTTTATGGACTAAATAATGATATACAATTCTATTCTGTTGAATTTCTTTTCAGGATACCGTTTTATTAAAATTGCTTCTAAGTAATTTTTTGTTCAGACTATCACCGCTTACCAAATACAATAGTTACATGTGTTCATAAATTATATTGTGAAAGTACAGGAACACAAAGCCGAACAGCTTTAAAGCATGAACACCTTCCAGAACAGCTATTGTACATGGACAGCGAATAAGCTCTCTGTACGATTGGGCAACATCAGGAAGAGATTTCCAGTATGGCTGCCTTACATCAGTTTGTGATCTGTATCCGGCCTGAGTCCCAATCTTGTGTGGACTTGGAAGCTGGGGCTGTGATGTTCAANAAAACAGGAAACTGTCATATCAACCATGCATGGTGAAGGCGTGTTAAACAGAGGTGCCAAGGACTTTGGTGGCCAAAGACTGTTGGATATCTCATGTAACGTAGAGGTTTACCTGTGCCAAAGGCAACCTGGAACTCTGCCTTGGCGTGGACGGTTAGCTTCGAATATGTTGAAACTCCTAGCACTAGGACATCTGTATCTACTCAAGCGAATGAGTATCTTTTAGAAACCTTGGTGTGTCAGCTTCTGCATGTTTACATAGGGGAAATACTAGAAACTTCGAATGAATGAGAGCATAGAACTTATTGTCAACATGGTGAAACCTTCCAATACAGTCAACATTCTCAGATTATGCTAAAAAGTCATTTGTCCCATAATTATGTCCAATCATAGTGATACGATATCTCTTCATGTGGAATTTGTTTTTGTAAATACATAATAGTTTTAGGACTACAACAAGAGATTCTCGAGGATCTGGGTTCGCGTCCGTATTGGGGGCAAATACTAAACTGCCAGGCAGTTGGAAAAGTTTCTTATGYGAAGACTAAACAAGAAAGAGCTGTATCTGACAGAATATCTTGCATCACAAGAAGAGGAAGAGCTTGATAGACGTAGTTCGTGTGACCTATGGACAACAGGTTCTATGCTCACCTGCATTTAAATTTCCTAGTATTTCCCCATGTAACATGGAGAAGCTGACACGCAGATCATCATGTTGCATGTGTCGCGTGATGAGTATCTTTTGGTGACCTTTCACTCAGTAGATACAGATGTCTTAGTGCTATAGGAGTTTCAGCATGTTCGAAGCTAACCATTCGGGCCAATTCAGAGTTCCAGATTTCCTTTGGCACAGGAAATCATCTACTTTACCTCGCTGTGCATGAGATATCCACAGTCTTGGCCAACAAAAGTCCTTGGCACTTCACTTCATAGTTTCCTGTTTTGCTGGGCGTGGACAAAAGACGCGGACTTTGATGTTTGAAAAGCACAATCTGATGCCACAACTGCATTTTTAATGCAAGCCAACCAATCTTGTCAGATCACTAAAGAGTGCATGATTTTTCTCCTGAAAGGTACGTTGTCATCCTTTATGGCTGAACATGTGACAGAAGTCTAAATTGATGCCAGAAAACAACTGTTAGCCCAGAAAGGAAAGTCTTTCAAATCTATTCCACCTACCAGTCCTGTTGGAGCATACCAAACATGCTTGCTGCCAGGGACTACACTGCTGGGGCCATGCTTTAAATCCAAGCCCACAAGATTGCGGTTCAGTCTAGATACAGACAACTGACGAGTGTTAGCCATACTGGACATCTCTTGCTGATGTTGCCAAGTCGTGTAGAGAGCTTATTAAAAGCTGTTCTTGAAGTCATTCATGCTCTAAATCCGACCTTGGCTGTACATCTTACAACTTTGGTGGTCAAAAACGCCTAATCTTTATTATGAAAATTTTACTTCCGGTTTAAAATGGCCGCTATTCAAAAAATCCCCTTAATTAGAGAAAATAGTTCTTTTTTGTCCTTAAACTATATCAGAATCTCTTAACATAATTAAAACTCAGCAACTGTCTGTGTTTAATCATTTAAACATGTATTGTGATTGATTTATTACCATTTGAAATTTTACTTCCGGTTCAAAATGGCCGCCATTTTGAAAAATCCCCGTAATTGCCGACTGCATCGTTTTTTGCGTTGGCACAATATCAGAATCGATTCCTGGTATTCAAATACATATTTTGACAGAGTGTCATGATTTTAACCTGAAAGTGAACAATTGCCTCACCTATCCGCCTAACTATTTCGTTGGATATAATGGGTTTTAAGTTTCAATAGCTCTAAAAGTTTGCTTTAAGACAAATAGCGTGTCGAAAAATCAATACGAATTTTTTTCCTTTTGAATTGTTTTCTTTTGGTACTGTAGATAGATAATGTATAAATAGTATTGTCTTGGATTGAGTATTAGTTCAACGTATATCTGTGCAAAGACGCGATAGTACGAAGATGAAATTTCTTGGTTGTTATATTTTGTTGGTGTCTCTGTGCTGTTTTCTTTCTGATGTCGACACAGCTTTGGTGCCGAAGAAAGGTTTGCTTACTATCATTTTCACAGTCTAAAAATTATCAATTCCATCTAATGTTTAAAGTATTGAAAGACGTTGTAGAAATATTGAAAATTAAAATTTGGATCGCAAAGACCAGTGATTTCGGACTCTTTTCTGAAAGTCCCTTCACTTAAATTTTCTCATGATCTAGATTTCTATAGCCCGATTTAGACGGTGCAACTTTGGCCTACAACTATCGCATGCGACCTGCGTAAGTCATCCTTACAACATGCCTACAACTGTCGTAGGGCTATCAAACAATTGTTTTTAATCTCTACGACAGTTGTATCCATCACATGTTGTAAGGATGACTTATGCAGATTGCATGCGATAGTTATAGGTAAAAGTCGCACCCTCTAAATCGGCCTTATACTTTTTGCGCCAGTATGAAATTAAAATTGATCCTTTTGGAAAGGCTGTTGCTCATGTGTCTTTGTGCTGTAAAGATTTGGCAATGGTTGTAACGGG